TGTAATTTTTGATTATAATATTATTTGTCGTTCTTGAATCAACATTAGATGTAGGTTCATTGGAACATTCACTGCACCGGCTAAGATGGATTTACTTCTCATTTTCTAAAGAATAAAAACCTTTTATTACTATAAAAATGAATAATATCTTTGATAAAGGTTTAAACGTGAAACTTGAAAATGAAAATCTTGTTGAATTCACTGAAACGGGCGCAGTTTAAAGATGTTGAGGTGTTAAATAAGAAAGCAAAAGGCAGAAGTCGAAATATGAACATCGATTATAAACCATTTACTATTTACGTAATGATGGTTCTGGTGGTTCAAACATTAAATATGCAGAAAGTAATAGAGTTTATGCGTTAAAAGGTGAAGCACCATCAATTAAAAACAGTTATTCTAATCTTTATCCTCAAAAACTGACTGATCCAGAAAGTGTGGACATGAATGACACCAAAAATATAAACAGAAATGGTGATAGAGATGGATGGAATCTATTCACTACACCTCATCTAAAAATAAAGCTTTAAAATAATGTTGGTCTTTCCCAAGGTATATTTTTAACATTAATTGTATTAGTCATTATATGAATTTCTAAATATGAACGTGGTGAAATGAGTGATTTATAAGCATCCCAGATTTCATCAAAAGGTAATGTTATACCTGATTGCTTCCAAATTAATTCTATATCGTATTTTGAGAAACCTTGAAATATAACGAAATCAGTAATTAAACGTTTTATGTTTAATGCTAAAAACCTCCACGTTTGCATAAGTATTGCAACAGTCATGGTAATGTCTGACTTTAGTATTAAATTAGCTAATGGTGAATCTGGTTTTGAAACTAAACCTTTACCAGCGAAATCATCACAAACTAATAAAGTGTTTGAGGATATTTTTTAAAAGGATATTTTGAAAGTTTCGAGAGAATGTAGTTTGTCAATCGTTTCATATCATACGTACCATCCTGCTGTCTCAAATGATGTTTATCAATAATTCTTTCCATTTCTTCCGAGGTCTTTTGCATTCCTGATTGTATAAATTCAACTATTGCATAATATTTCTTCTTTCTTCTTATATACGTTGAAGAAAAGAAATTAATTCGCTATCTGGAACTTTAATTACTGATGCCTGAACTTTACCCATAAACGTTTTCGCTGTTGAATCCATTGAATCTGAAGTTGCTGATATAATGATTTGGTCATAATATGAATCTTGACCTAACGTTCAGTAATTAAAATATGACGAATTAAATTAAAAGTCTTTCCCGAACCCATTTTTCCACAATAGAAATACACACCGTTTGAACAGAACTGATAATCCTTACTGAAGGGAAGAATTAATGAACTATTGAGTTTATCAGATTTTTCATTCATTTTTTCATCTACTTCTTCAAATAAATGTTTCATTTTATTATAATTAAAAATGCAAGTCAGAAATTTTGTTAATACCGTTCCCAGTCTTAATGATAAAAGTATTAAATTCTATTATGAGCACATATTTTCACAACCGTTTAAAATAATCAATGGTGAATACATTTATGAATACCCTAAACACTGGGTTGATTATAACACTGGTGAAAAAGCAATTGAAATAAGACAGATAAAAACCATTCCTGCAGGACGAACCATTGAATTATATAACTTTGGAATAATAAAAGATAATCATCAATATGATTTACAGATTTATATAGATTTAGACACAGGAGATGATATGACAGCATTTAATAAAAAGATTAAATCGGTTCTTATTGAACAGTTAAAAGGTGCCGGATATCCTCAACCTAATGAAGTTGATATGTTTTATAGTTTTGAAACTAATTCAATAGAATTTCGTGTTAATTCAAATTCAAAAGCTGGTTTCATATTTGATTTAAAAGATGGTGCTGTCGGTGAAGAGATTGAAAATATATACACGAATAATAATTTTAGAGCTATTACAGGAATCAATGATGAAGAATGTTTTAAGAAAATGGCTCTTTTTGGAGCAAAAGAAATAGTATTAATCGACCTTTTAGAATATTTACCAAAATCAATAGCCGTGAGGGCAGAAGGTAATTTATTAACTTCAATTTCTTTTCACAGCGTTTGGTCCAGAGAAGCGGCAATCATTAAATCGAGTATAAGTGAGTTCGCAGAAGATTCAATTTTATGTTTAACGAACTGCTTATATTCTCCGCCGAAGCATTATTCAATAACTAATTATGTTAATAAATTTAATATAAAATTAGTTGAACCATCGAGCCTAAAAGATATTGTCCTTCCTGATGACAGAAAAGATAGCATTATTATCGAACTCATATTAATCGCTTATTAAAATTTAATTATATATAAATGAGTTCAACGACTGAAAGCGCATGGGCTAGTTTTGATGAAGACCCTAAACCGCGGAACTATAATAGAATTTTAATTCCTGTAGGTCTTTTATTAGCTGCAGGTGCGGTAGCTGGACCATATTTATATAGAAATTTATATAGAATGCCGATTAATCAAACTGCCGTGGCTGATATTATTCCAACAGGTCTGAAAAAATCTACACTGTTTCAAGCAATTAGCTAGCGCATAAGGCGCCACGACTCACTCCCACGTAGTACGCCCGCAGTTAATTATTTAAAGAATAGAAGAAATTAATTTGTAAATCAGCGGAGCTAGAAGAATCAGATTACGTGTGGAAAATAGGTTTTGAACGCTTAGATAGGGCTAAAATGAGACTTTATGAGATGTGTTGTATAATTATAGTTTTTGCGATAATGTGTCATGAGATCAGAATATGAAGAGAGTAAATATGTATTATTGTCACAGGTTTATATGTGGGGATAGCTCGATAGAGTCTCTAAAAGAGATTAGTACGTGAGTAAGGCGATTTAATAAACAAAAGAAAGAAATAATTAAATTTTTTTTAACTTCGAAAAGATTGTATGAAAGTGTCTTTGATTGTAAGATACATTTAGATCGACAAGAGTGTATTGTGCACTCTTGTCGGTCAAACTTCCGCATTCAAGTTATGAATGCAGAAGATTGTCTCATTCTGGGAGACATGCAGTGACAATGTCTCCCGGAATGAGACATGCAGACCGACAAGAGTGCACAATACACGTTTGTCGGTCAAACTTCCGCATTCAAGTTATGAATGCAGAAGATTGTCTCATTCTGGGAGACATGCAGTGACAATGTCTCCCGGAATGAGACATGCAGACCGACAAGAGTGCACAATACACTCTTGCCGGTCAAACTTCCTAATACAAAATTTGATTCCCTTATTATCTTCTTAACAAAACTTAAGATTTCAATAATACATCATGAAAACATTCATTTACTACATTCACACTGTTATTCCTTTCTATAAATTAACTCATTTAATAGAATCTTGTTTTTATATCTTATTATTTTCTCATAATACTTCTAATTCCTCTATTTCCTCTTCCACATAAAATTTAATTTTTTAATGCTATCATATACACTTAATGTTTTCAAATTTTCAGATTTAAATTTAATCTTTATTTTCATCATCATTTATAATCTTGTTCCTATATAAAGTTATAATAAATTATCATCAGATTCGAATATTTATGATTCTTACTACTCAATTCAATATAATTATGTTAGTCACTCATATTCAGGAGAATAATTTAAAAATCTATAGCTCATATTTTGATCGTTATATATTTAGATGATATATATTGCAATTCCGGTTTCAACACGATCAAATGCCAAACCAAGACAAAATATATATGAATTTTCAAAATATCGATTTACATTAGAATCTATATCTAATTTTATCAATACACAAGTAGTGAATGTTCAATACATCTTTGAGCAACGTGAATAGCACAATTTTATAGGATTATTTGTTGATTATATAAAATATAAGCCAAATCGAATCTGCTGTATAGTACTTTAGTTTATCATTGAATGTTAAATGTGTTCAGATAAATATTTGAGTCAGATATCGCATTTTCTAATTTCAAAATTTATCTCATGAAGTTAGAATTTATTTGATCATACAACATCATGTTAGTCAAACTATAGTTCAATGGCGATTCTAAAATGGAACAAATGCTTGTTTTATCAAAATGTTAAAATATTAATCTAAAAAACTTAATATCTAACCAAACCATTCTAGAATTATTATATACAGGTATGGGCAATCTAAATGCACACGGAATTCGGAAAATTAAAAAGAATATTTATGAGATTATTAAATCTTATGTAATTCAATGAAAAGTAGATAATATGAATATCTATAGGCTATATATCAACATATGAGTTTTTGGTTTGACCAATACTATACTAATGTGATCAAATTAATCTGATTTCTTAGATTTTCATTTGAAGCATTTGCTGTAGTAGGGGTACCTTTATATATTAACATATTAAAAAATTGCGCTCCGATTCGCAGTTTCTTCATGATTTTGAGATTGCATTAGATTTCGCGATGCAGAAAAAAATCACTTTAGATTCCCGTCAAACTCTAAGTATAAGCATGTCTCTATATGTAGAAACTGTCTGCGCTATTTATTTCCCGGCTCAAAAAACCACGGTGTCTGTGTGAGGAAAATACCCATTTTAGGACCCTGGGTAGGGGGTCATGAAAATTTTCCAAGAGTTGGAAATATAGGGTATCAAGTTCAGTTCGACTATGTATGTAGTAATTCCTCAATAAAGTTAGCATTAGAATCAGGAAAATTATAATCATCTTGATTTATATCATTTTGAAATAATCTATATTTAATATAATTTTTTTCTTTTTGATTGGATAATATAGTAAATTCCGATTGTTTTAACGCACAGTCTGTTATTAATTGGTCAGATGGCATTGTAGAGCCAATAAAATCTGTAGCAAAAGATTTTGTAAATAAATTTTGTAAAAGATTATCGTTTTTAAACAAAAATGGATATTTTGCAGAGCTCTCAAGAGGTTGAACAAACTTAATAAATACCAATTTTTTTAGTTTGTTCAGAATTTTTATTTGAGAAGATAATCAAATCGATTCATCTTAAAATCATGCTTGCTTTAATCGCATTCGCAAGAAATCCTAATTATTATAATCTGTTTCGCTTTATTAAGAACGATTATGAATATGATGATTGGCTGTATGCTGATGACCAAAGTGATAAATTCAGCTGCACCTTTTATCCAGATGAAAATGAAAACTTATGGGAAATTGGAGATTATTTCAACAGCGAAGACTATGAAGATGAGTACCCATGTTATGACCTTGATGAAGATGGAAACAAATGGAAGTATGGAGTCCAATTCACAAAGAACGATGAAGAAGAAGATAATAGGCGACTTGTTGATTTGAGGAAGTTAGGAAAGGTACACTCACTTGACGAAGATGGGAATAAATGGAAAGTGAGTGTTCACATTTCACATTCGAAAATAATTAATTAATTAATTTCCTATTATGTAAGGTTTATTTGTATTGATAACATTGTTCCTAATTCATATATTAAAACTATAAAAAGAAATTTTTAAAAAAGCATTCATATATAAAAAAATAATATAAAAAAATCATATAAGGTCGCCAAAAAAAGTGCGGAAATTAAAAACCGCAGTTTGAGTACTTTCTGAGAGTCTGTTTGTCAGAAAGAATACATTTGTAAACTTTCTGACACTAAAATTTTTTAGTCCTTTCAAAGTTTTTGACAATGTCAAAAAGTATACATCGGGGCTCTCAATTTTCCTCTCAAACGGCGGTTTTTTAAAAACGCTCATTTTTTCATCGACCTTAATAATAAAGTTACTTCTTTGCTACTGCAGCTGCAATCTGTCTCTGTATTTCATCTATTTGTCTTGCGAGAATTGTATTCTCATTTATCAAGTCTATATCAGGAACAGAGATCTTTAAGTCCTCGAGTTTCCTCTTCAGTTCTCTCTTCTTTTCTCTCAGCTGATTTATTGTGTTTTCTGATTGTGCGAGCTTCTCCTTCAGCTCCTTGATCTCCTTCACGTACTCCTCATCATCTCTGGCGGCCTCGAACTTCACTGTCTCATCCATTATGTCCTCTTTCTCTCCTTTCTCCCTCTTCTCGCTGATTTCGCCTTTCATCCGCTGGAAGTCTGTCTTTGCTTCGAACTTCCTGTCGGCAACTTGGCTCTCGCTGCTCTGGAGAAGATCTTGCTCCTCGCCAAACTCGTCTTTGTCATCAAAATCATCATTATCGTTATCGTCTTTTTCTGTCACTTTTTCATCATTTAGAAATTTTTCACCATCTTTGTACCTGTTGAATGAGAGCTGGAGCTGGTCTTCGAGTCTCTTTACTCTGTCCTTGAGTGTTTCGCACTTATTCTTCCAGTAGCTTGCGTCATTGTCGATGTCGACGAAATCGTCATCGAAATCTTTTTGTTCCTCGACGGGGACGTCGTTTTCGATGATGACGGTGTCGTCGTTGGCCGGAGTCTTGTCGGACAGCTCTATCACTCTGATCTCCAAGTCCTGTGTCTTCCTCGTCAGTTCCGAAATCTTCGTGTCCTTCGTTTCGAGCTCTTTCTGGAGGTCCTCGATCTTCTTCCTGCTCTCCTCAAGCTCCTTCTGCTGCTTCTCGTCGACTTTTGGCTTGACTCCGAGCAATTCTTTCTGATGATTGTTGCAGATCTTGAGGAGCTCGTCTTCTTCCTTGTCTTCGTCGGCTTTCTCGAGTTTGGCCTTCAGATCGTTGTTCTCTATTGTCAAGTTCTCGATCTGCTGGAATAATGGAACAGGATCTATCTGTTTCGGAATTTCTGGGACGGGAGTGTTCTCTAGTTCAGTAACTTTGGCTGCAAGCTCCTCTTTAGCTTTGATTGCGTCCTGTAATTGTTGTTTGAGTCCGGATAATTTTTCGTTTTCGGATTCTAATTCTTCGACTCTCTTGTTTAGTTTGCCGCACACAGCTTGTATGCTGGTGAGCTCATCGAGCATCGCCTTGATGTTCTCTGTAGAGGTCCTTTCGCGTTCGAAATCTTGTAATTTGCGTTTTAATGAAAGATTTTCCGCTCGAAGCTTTTCACATTGTTGTAAGGCGATTTCTGTTTCCTCTCTTTCTTGCTGTTTTCGCTTTTCTTGCAATTTCTTTTGTTCTTCGGTTAATTTCTTCAATGCTTCTGCGCTATCGTCGTCTTCCTTGGCCTCATTGCTGTTGTCGTCATCATCCTTATCTATTTCCACGTCTTGGTCATTGTCATCGGAATAAACGGGTTTAATAGTTTCTTCAACTCTTGGAGAGAGCTGGCCAATTATGAGATTCTTTTCATTGATTTTTTCTTCGGCTTCTTTCAGTGAATTCTCTGTTGAAGCGAGTTTTGATTGTAATTTAGAAATCGTACGATTTTGTACTTCTATTTCGGCCATAAGAGATGGTATTTTATCGTTGTTCTTAAGAGCAACAATTTCGTCAATAAGGGTTTGCTTTTCGACCGTTAATTTTTCAATTTGAGCTTGGAGAGAAGCTGGTGAATCCTTACTTAACTTCTGCTCTTTTTTTGGAACTTTCTGGCGAAGGTCTGCATTTTCAAATACAAGTTCTTGATTCTTCTCCATTAACATTCGATTTTGAAGTTCCATTTTTTGGTAGACTTCATTAGATTCGATTGACGGTGTTTTCTCTGGCTGTGGTTGCGGTTTTGGCTCTTCTGGGGCTGGTTGTTTGATTTCCCTTGTTTTAACAACTTTCGATTTCGGTTTTTCCTCTTTGGAATTGTCGAGATCACCACCTTTATTAAGGCGTTTCTCAAGTCCATTGATCTTAGAACGTAAAGCTTGGAGACGATTTAAGCGTCCTTTTTCTGTTTTTGATGGACTTTCACTCATTTAGATTTTTTTTTGAAATTGTGATATCACTTTTAATTTCTCTAAATATTGTTAAATAGCACATATTTACATACTTTAGCAAATGGGAGGAAAGTGGCATAAAACATTTCTTGCGCGTATGACACTTTTTCTCCTTTTCTAGAGTTTTTATTCAATCTATGAGAAAGAGCAATAAGGGATAAGTTGTTTAATAATATATCTATGATTTTTTCTTGCAGCATGATTCATAGCCGTTTCTCCACTGCAATCCTTCGCATCGATGTCTACTCCGTGCGAAATCAGAAGTTTTGCAATTTCACCACTATTATAGTCAGCTGAATAATGAAGAGTGGTTTGGTTCATATTATCTTTTGCATTAATATCTGCTCCGTGCAATATAAGAAGTTCTGCTATTTCCTTATTATCATTAAATGTTGTAAGATGAAGTGCTGTTTGTCCATAAAAATCCTTTTTATTAACATCAGCTCCATGTAAAATAAGGACTTTCGTACTTTCCAAGTTATTATTAAATACGGAAAAATGAAGAGGTGTTTGACCTTGAATATTCATGACATTGATATTTGCACCATGAGAAATGAGAAATTCTACCATATCATTTTTATTGCGTTTGGCTGATAGATGAAGAACAGTATCACCATCATCATCTTGTGAATTTATATCTGCACCATGGGATAAAAGAAATTCTATAAATGTTTTATTATTATGAAATCCAGAAATATGAAGAGGAGTTTCTCCCCTATTATCTCTTGCATTGATATCAGCTCCATGCAAAATAAGAACTTCTGCAGTTTTGCAACAATTCATTTTAGCTGCAAGATGGAGAGCTGTTGACCCATCATTATCTTTTGCATTGACTTCTGCTCCATGCAATATTAGAAATTCTGCTAATTCATATAAATTTTTAGAAGCGCAAATATTAAGTGCAGTTAGTGTAAAGTTAATCATTGAATTTGTATCAGCCCCATTTAAAATAAAATATTCACAAAGGGGTGGAATGTTGAAAAATGCTGAATAGACAAAGCATTTGTTGATATCCTTAGTTTGATCTAAATAAACAAAAAATACTTGAATATTGTTATAATTTGAGCAATCTTCTAAATCAATCTCTAAACTGTATTCATTAATCAAAAAAGAAACGAAATCGATATTATGAGAAATAATTGCAAATTGCATGCATTTTTTATCCGGTCTGTGGTATTTCAAACATTCATTCATAATCTCTGCATTTCCACTCAAAAATGATAGTTTAAGACATGTTTCTGTGATTTCAGATTTGAATTTCGATCTCAATAGTTTAAAGCAATTAACTGCACCATGATAACAACATAATTCAAGAAAAGAATACCCTCCTTTTGTCTCTGGATAAAAATTGCTTTCAAATACTTGATTTTTGTCAAAGTCTTCTCTTTCGGTAAATAATATAAATGATTCTTTGGCATCATTCATAATTGCTCTATAGACTGTATTTTCATCATGAATATCTAATGAAAGATTTCTAGATTCAAAATTTATGATTTCACTTTGATTATTTTCATTTATAATAACTCCAAATTCTTTATAATAAAAGTAGTCAAGAAATGGTGGAATACAATTATCTATTATTTGATGATATTATTCATAAAATCTTTTGAAAAGTAACCAATATGATTTGAAATGACGTATATTATATGGAAATATTTTGCATATGATATTTACCATATCTGAAGGTGAAATAATATTCGTATCTAATAAAATAACTTTTATATCTTTGAGTAAATTGCATATTTCTTCTTCATTTTCTGTTTCTAACTGGTACAATACATCAAATATATGCTGATAATTTTTAAATAACTTCATTAGTGAATCGTAATGACTATGGCTATCAATGGAATTCGACATGAAAAAAATGTCACTTTTTCAATAATAAACAAACATTTACTAAACAAATAAAACAAACATTAGACTAACAGAATCTAAATATCAAACGTTATCTGGCTGGAAATTTTTGATGTATTCGATTGCTGAAACGAAGACAGTTTTAGCGTACTCCATTTGAGATGTGAGTTTCAATCCAACCGCTGTCTTTATGAACAAGGCCAGAGACATTGGGTCCGGTAGGGGCCACATTGCCATCAACGGCCAATAAACAGAGAAAATGTCATCGAAAGCGAGAATAGTGTTATTCTGATCAGGCTCCTCTTGGTTTTCATTAACTTTGTTCATGTTTTTCTTCGCAATAAAATCAATATAATTCATTGCTTTGAGAGACAGCCACGCAAATGCGGCAGGATCTGTATAGAACTGCATCTGTGATATAGAGTCCAATGCTTTTACATAATTCAGGGCTACATCCTTAAATTTCATCTTTAATTGCTCTGGTTTGAGCATTACAGAGCTGATTGCGAGTTCTTCGCACGTCATTTCGCGCACAATCTCACAATTCCGCTTGTACTGCGTGTGGTCGAGCTTCACATTCAAGTAGGGACATCTGACGTATAATTGATCGAAGTAAAAGCGGACTACGGCGCAGCGAAGGATGGTAGCTTGCTTCGGATTCGATGGATTGAGTACCTCGCCAATGGCATTGTAGCACTTGGCAATGCCTAAAAACTGAATTTTTGGAGAATTCCATAAATCGTCTGAGGAGCCATTCCCAAAAATTGTGTTTTTGAGCATTGTAACGGTATCGTCGATGTAGGGTTTGAAAATATCGTATTTGTTCTGAGTAAAGATATAACAGAAAAATAAATCATCAAAGCCGGATATTTCACAATAATCATTCTTAGATTCGATTAGAGATTGAAAATTCTTCAATGAATCATGCATAAGTTGTTCAGAAATTGTTGGATAAAGAGAGTCATATTTGTATTTTTTGGATAAACGATCTAATTGAGCAATTTTGGAGATAACAGTTTTAACTGACTTCATTGTATTAAATTCAAAGTTGGCATTCTTTTTGTATTCGCCGGCTTTAAATGCGGCAATAAATCCTGAAGTTTTACAATCATTTAGAAAGCAAAGAACTCGTGAGATTTTAACTACACATGAACTATAAAAATCTGCATTTAGATTTCGATATTTCTTCAATAATTTTTCTAATTTGATATGAATAACAAGTTGTGAAGCAGATGGAAGATCGGGAGGTGTAGGAAGTTTAAATGAGAATAATTTGAATTCTTTCTCTTCGCTTTTCTTCATAAAATATTCAAGTAACTTCTTGGTCTTTTCGAAGTGAATTACGTATTCTTCTTCCCTCGGCTTTTTCATGAAGTCTAGGTCTATGTACCTGGATAACTCAGAGTCAAGGTCTTGATATGGTATTTGTATATAGCTAATATTATTATCACTCATAGAAGATTCTTCAAAAAAATTTTAGAAAAAAATTAATTTTCATGAAAAATTAAGGGTGCGCCCGGGAGGATCATGTAAACTTCAGAATTTAGAACCTTAATTTTTAAGCAATAACTTGGTACCTAAATAGGTAGGAAAACTCTAAAAATATCAAAAAATACAACTTGGCTCCATAATAATCCTGTCATGGTGGCTGTTTGTCTCCCCTAGTATTTTCCTCTTGAATCTCTTTTTCTGTCGAAATTAAATTCAAATCTCAGAAGTAGAAGTGAATAATCGACTTATTACTGCTATTATACGAATAAATAAATTCATTATATTATTTTTATTTACATAATATCTGTTTGAAGTCCATAATTCTATAAATTTTTCTTCAAAAACATTACAATCTTGATAGTTTTAATACTGTTTAATAAGTTTTTGGCACCTTATTTAGTATTTACTACGTATAGAGTCGATCTGAACTTAATTTTCGGAAATTTAAAATATTTATTATAAGTAAAATCTGATTTGAAATTTATGTTTAACTATTCATATCTTGCATTATCCTGAGTAGCTTTTGTAAAAATTCATCAAAAAAAATTTTAACGTGCTTTAATTTTTATTTTTTAAAATAATGCATATTATTATATAACTAGCATATTTACAAATTTTAGTGCTTTCAAAAATTTAATCCTCCTCCTCTCAAATAAACGTACATCCGGGTGGCCTGTTTTTTGCAAAAAATAAAATTTCATTTTTTATGCTTAAAAAGTCAGAATTTTTATTTGCTTCTGGGATATATGATGGCTATATCAGATGCCCATTCTTTTTGATACTCAACATTAAACATAAAACTTAGCCGTTAAGGCTCTTCTGAAAATATTTTTTTCCCGAAAAATTTTCGAAAAAAATCAAAAAATTTAAAAATCCCCGAATCTGCAGGGATTTTAAAAAATTCTTTTTAGTAAAACTTAAGGATATTGTATCAGATATATTGGTATGGGCAAATTCAATTTTAATCCTCCTCCTCTCAAATAAACGTACATGCGGGTGCACCCTTAAATAACATTTTAAGGGTGCGCCCGGGAGGATTATGTAAACTTCAGAATTTAGAACCTTATTTTTAGGCATTATCTTGGCTACCTATTTAGGCTCGAAAAGCAAAAAATATCAAAAAATACAACTTGACTCCATTCTGACCCTTTCATGGAGGTAGTTTTTATCCGCTAGTATTTTCCCTTTGAATCTCTTTACAATTCGAAATCAAATTCAAACCTCAGTAGAAGAAAGGAAGAATCGACTTACTACGGTTGTAATACGAATAAATACATATATTTAATTATTTTTATTTACATAATAATTGTTTGAAGCTCATATTCGGCAAACCCAAATTTTAGCTAAAAGTGACAGGGGGAAAAAACGTTTAGTATTAAAAAAAAAGACCGATGAGAGCTTCGTTCGAAATATAGAGGGAACTGAGAATGCGCAACCATTCTCAGGGAATATTGGATGCTATTCCCGTTCCCTCTGTATGGAAAATTGAGGTTTTCAAAGGGAGTTAAAATAATATCAAATTTATACTAATTTACTTCAAAATACAAAAGTATTTGACAGCTAAAATTAGTTACTTTAGCAAGCCTATCAATACCCTTTTACGATTATTGCTACTTTTTCGAAATAAAAGTAAAAACAAATTTATACTAATTTACTTCAAAATACAAAAGTATTTGACAGCTAAAATTAGTTACTTTAGCAAGCCTATCAATACCCTTTTACGATTATTGCTACTTTTTCGAAATAAAATAAATTTATTATCAAAAACCTTTTTTTTCTTAGTAAAAATAAACGAAATTTTTTACCTTATGAACTTTTGATGGAAATATGCAAATTTAAAATAATAAAGAAAGCCGCGAGCAAAGCGATCGGCTTAGTTCGAAGATTTTGATTCAAATCTTTGCTGATCTGTAATTCGCGGAAGCCGCGAGCGAAGCGATCGGCTTAGTTCGAAGAAAAAAAAAAAAAAAAAGTAGTGGGGCCTCCAGGCGCGTTGCGCCCTCTAGCCCTGAAGATGTTTAGTATAATGAAGTTTTTTTTTTTTTTCTTGGGATGGGCCTCCGGCACTTCGTGCCCTCTAGCCCATAAAAAATTTCTGAGGACGAGCCAGCCGTTGACTTTTTTGTAGAGCACTCAAAATAGTATAACTTTGTCCGGACAAGTAAGGGTCTAACGTCGCTACAGGAAAAGTTACGGGCGTTCCAAGGAAGTATACTTTGAGAAGACTTCTTCTGGGTCGAAAACATTATATAATGTGTCGCTTTTCACAAATTATATATGTTTTCATGTTTTGTCACTTTTCTGTCACTTTTCAGGAAAAAACATTTTTATTATTATATATAAATGAATTTTACAAAACCACCGTTACCGTTCTTTGGAAATAAGAGTAAATGTAAAGATATTATATTGAGAGAACTTAAGAAACTACCGAATGGTCTAACATTTGTAGATTTGTTCGGTGGAAGTTTCTATATATCCCATTTGTGCCATACAATATTTCCTGACTCAAAGATTATATGCAATGACTTCGACAACTATATGAACCGTCTCAAACATATTCCAGACACAAACAAAATATTGAAAGAGTTAAAAGAAAAGATTCAGATAGGTAAGATGGAACGTATACCATTAGATAAGAAAAATATTGTGAGAGAGGTTTTGAAAAAAGCAGAATATATAGACTGGGATAGTATATCTGCTAGACTATTATATAGTGGTTCTATAAGAGTTCATGACATTGAAACACTTATGTCAAAAGTTTTATATCTTAACTATACAAATGTTTTCAAAGAGGACATAGAAAAATATATTGAGGGTATAGAGTTTGTGAGATGTCATTGGACAGAGTTATATGAAAAATATAAAGACAAGGAAAATGTTTTCTTTATAGTGGACCCGCCGTTCTATAACACATGGGATTTTCAATACCAAGTAGACTGGACTTTGAGAGACTCTTTAGAAACTTTAGACGTTTTACATAACCATCCATGCTTTTACTTTACATCCGATAAAAGTGGTTTGGAAAGTGTCATGAAATGGTTAGAGGACATACATGACTATGTGTTTAGATATGACAAGATAGAATATGAGAGAGGTCCTATAAACCGGAGAAAGTGTCACAATAACGAAATTTTATTAGTAAGTAAATGTGGTTTGAAATAGGACTACTTGTTTTAGGTTTTTTCCATTGTGTCATTTATTTATTTGACGTGGCAGAAAAGTACAGAGAATATGAAGATGAACCAATGCCTGCAAATGTTCAGTATATGTACTCGTAAGAGATATTTTTATCTAATATTAAATGGACGCACAGAACTTAGCGAATGCACAGCAACCTGGACAACCAAACCCAGAGAATATTCCAAATGAAGTTAGAATACAAACTGCATGGCAAACTATGGTCAAGTGCCAACAGATGTACAAATGCAAACTGCCATGTCAAATGACGCTGCGTTAGGTTTGCCACCATGGTATGCAAATATGAGATGGACAGAGTTTTATACAAACCCTGAAGTGGGATAATACAACTTTATGCAGATGACGCGAACACAGGAGTTGACCCAGAATATGTTTTCTACCAGAGGAGAAACAGAATGTATGAGCTCCAGTTAAAGAATGCTATGGAACTCAACAGGAAACGTAAGAGACTAGGCGGACATTAGATTTTTACATATAGTAAAATGGGTTTCTTCAGTAAGATAGGAAACTTCTTTCGAAATGTTGGAAGAGGTATATGGAATGGAATAAAATCTGTCGGAAGAGGAGTATGGAACGGTGTCAAAAATATTGGTAAAAGAGTAGGTCAGTTCGTTGGTATTATACCTAAAGACCCTGAACCAGAAGAACAAGCTCCTGTTATACAACAGCTGAACCTGCACCACAGTCAAGTTGGCAACCAAATCCAACACCTCAACCGTATTAAAAAATTATATTTTTACCGTTCGATAGTAGTTGTATATGAAACTAAGTTCTAAGTAAAAACGCATGGTATAATGGAATTATTCTTTTTCTTCCATCTGTAGTAAACCATACTTGAAAGTCTGAAATACTTCCACTTGGTGGTTCGTATAACTTTGTAGGTTTTTCGTAAAAGTCATTTGCCAAGCATAAGAAAGTTTTGGGCGCCAGAAAATGAAGCATGAACAATAATAGCATCTTGGTCGAAAAACATTTTCATATGTTCCATTAGGGTTTTCGACTTCATAAAAGTCTGGTGTACTGGATATGCTGCAGGCTGATTTAACATCCTCATAAATCTATACCATGCCAAGTTGTTATATTTGTAGAAATATAAACGTCTTCTCCAAGGTCTTCTATTCTATTGATTTAACAGTTGCATTTTTCCTGTCATAAATAATATCGAGATGGTATTCTCCTTCGTCAATGTTATACTGGTTTGCATATTCGATATGATATCGTTTATTTTTTTTGAAAAGCTTGAAGAGTTGTTTCTAAGTTTACAAGCAAACTAACTTGTAAAAGTTTTCCCTGTTCAAATTTCTCATACATACGTTTTTCTTTGTTATAGTATCTAACTTCAAAACCGACCGTAAATGGGAAACCATGTATGGCTTCTGAAATGAACTTCATTCTACGAAAGCCAATAGCTTTTGTGACAGATGGGTCTCTTAGCCATCTTAATGGGTAGTCAAAACGATAGCCTTCATGCTTTACGGTCTCTGTCTCAAACTTTTGACCGACATTAGTAAAAAGTTCATCTAATGGTTTAGTTGTAGCAACTCTTGAATTTTCTTTTTCTATTGAAAGCATATTTTATCTAGAATAAAAATGTCGAAAGATATTGCTTCCATGAGAGAAATACAACACAACCGACAACTCATTATGCAAGCTCTAAATAAGAACACAACAAACTTTTCAAACTATTCTAAGATATCTGAGTCATTGAAAGAAGGAAACTTAAAACTGACATTAAACCCAATGACAGATGAGTTTCTATTTCAAGACAAGAAGAACAATACTGTCTGTATAAATCCAACAAAAGGAACTTTAAACGAGAAACCTATAAATGAACTTCTTTTGAAAGCAGATGTTGACAACAAAGCTGACAAAGAATATGTAGACGATGCAATAGCAAAAGAAGAAGAAAGAGCTAACAATGCTTATGCAACAAAAGAACATACTCATCCTGAACTAGCAGACAAAACATATGTTGACAATAAAATGTCAAGTGAAGTGACGAGAGCTGAAAACGAATATTCTAAAAAGACTCATACACATTCTATATCTGAAATAACAGACTTAAACGTTAGCCTTGAAAAGAAAGCGGATAAGGAATATGTGGCTAGTAAGTTAGAGAAGAAAGCAGATAAGGAATATGTGGATGAAAAAGATAACGAAATGAAAGAAAGGGTTGACTGGTACCATGAATGGACATCGAAGATTTTAAAAACTAAAGCCGATACAGGATGGGTTTCAGGATGTTTAGACCTTAAAGCAGATAAAACTTATGTTAACGATGAGTTAGAGAAGAAAGCAGATAAGAACCATACACATACAAGTTTTACAACTGTTGCTATAGAAAGTATTGAAGGAACGGTTGAAGAAACTGGTGGGGATGCATTATATTGTAAACCTCCTAACTTTCCACAAGGTTTAACATCGGATGACGACATAACGACGATGAGAAACATTAGATGTAAAGATGTTTATGTCATGAAGGATGAACATAATATTAAATTCACTGCTCAAGATTTATATGACAAGAAAGCAGACAAAACAGAGCTTCAAACATTAAAGACAGAAATACTTCAAACATTATATCCTATAGGCTCTATTTATACGTCAATGAATTCAACAAATCCAGCAACAGTTTTAGGTTTTGGAACTTGGACTCAAATAGTCGACAGGTTTTTGTATTGTGCAAACTCTTCAAAGGAAACAGGTGGAAGTAAAACGATTTCAGGTGAAAATTTACCTGCACACAGTCACTACATAGATTTAAGTACATCTCAAGCAGGTTGGCATAAGCATAGATATTGGGATTGGTCAGCAATGACAAAAGGTAAAGGATATGATGTTAAAGACAACGTTAAGTTTGCTATAAATTGTTACTGGAGTAACACTGAGGGAGGAGGAAACCATACACATCGCGTTTCGGGATATACACAAACAACGGGACAAAGTAAAGACTACATGCCACCTTACATGACAGTTTACGCATGGTATAGAAATGCTTAGTCGTCATTTTCAACTTCTTTAGCATATTCGTCAGGAGTTGTCTTATATTTGTTAGGAACTGTCTTTGAAAGTATACCACCTTGAACTTTGACAAGTTTGAAACGAGGTCTGACAATAGTAGTTTTATCTTCTGCTTGCAGTGTGTACATTTTGCCATGTTTGCCTAAAACTTCATAATATTCTCTTGTATACTTTCTTCTATTTTTACGAACACGAATGTGAGTACCTGTCGGGTTCCCATTGTTGTCATAGTCAATAGTATTTTCATATGGGTCGCGTTTAGGTATTTCTATATTTTACTTTGTCGCCTTTCTTAAGTTTGAAGCCCGGCATTCTTTCTTGTTTGTCTCTTTTGACTAAATTATTAAATATATAGTCTTTCTCTAAGTCAGGGTTGTTTTTCATTTCTTCAGGGGAGTGGTTTCCCAAACCTTTTTGTTTACGGCTATTGTAAATATTTAAAACTTGTCTCATCTTTGCTTGGGAGAAGTGTCTATACTTGTCGTCATATGACATTTCATTTGCTTCACCACCTTGTGGTTGGTTTAAGTCTCTTAACATTTTTATACATCCGTCAATGACACCAAGAGCAGAATGGTTTTGGTCGACAATGAAATATTGGTTTACATTTTTTGAACGCAGATAGTTTTTTACATCATCTGATTTGAAAGAACTTTCACAGTCAGATGTCAGTTTTGTTGGATGGTATTTGTCAACGAATATTGTCAAAGCAGTTTTCACATCTAAAATATTTTTGGACCATAATGGTATGGCTTCACAGTATCTTGTGTTTTGACCAACAAATATTAGCCAGTATGGTGGTCCATCTTCTCTATACCTCGGAATGTTTTCCAAGATATCCATAAACCAAGCATTTGGTGTTGAACTAAAGATTTTTACCATGAGTGCTTTCTTTGTTGCCTTAGAAACATAGGGGTCCTTGTTTGGATTCGTCATTTTTATCCTATAAGAAATGGGTTTTTTGGCGCATTAGCAGGAGTTGCATCCAGATTTTTGCCCGCAGTGGGAACAATAGCCAGAGGTGTATTTGGAGTTGGAAGGAAGATTTTGAGTACATTAGGTATACTGAAAGAGAAAGCACAACCTATTATACAAACTGTACAGAAAGGTTGGGATGTAGCACGAGATGCAACAAATCTTATTCCAAATCCTGAAACAAGAGGAAAAGTTCAAGGATGGATGGACAATGTAGGAAGACAAGCAGGAAACTATTATAAAAAGCAAATGACTACTATAACCAAGCAGGACACTATATGGACCAAGGTGAAAGATTCTTTAACAGAGGATATAACCATGCACAACAATGGGTAAACAATAACCAACCTCAACCGCCTCAAACGTGGGGAATGTAAAGTTTTTTACTGAGATGAAATGAACAATACAGCATTGAGACAAATGGGTTCAAGATGGATTTGTCGGCTTCCAGCAGTTACACAACGTGTTTGTCAAGTTCTTCCTATACCTCAGGAAGTTTTAGACCGACTTAAAAAACAACAACAACCAGTTGAAAACAAACCAAACTAAAATTTTTTACTGAGATGAAATGACCGAAGAAGTTGAAACGGTAGATTTGACACCACAAACAAAAAGTTCAGAACCATTGTCAAAACCTGTCAAAGAACTTACAGATGAAGAGAAAAATTCAATAATAGAAAGTGCCAGGTCTGGAAATACAAACCCTAACTATAAAGTCACTTTTCATAGAAATGGAACGGCTAGTATCTCAAAAAAGAAACAGACTCTCACAAATAAAATATTGAAGTCTGAAGGAGCTTTCGAGACAACAGATGGAAAAGTTTACTTCACTGACCAACAGTTCATTATAGAACATCTCATTGACTTAGAGTCGAAATATTCTAAACTTTACAACAAACACAAAAAGTTGAAAGGAAAACAAAAACAAATGGCATATGATATTTATGAAGATGTTGACGACACAACTGTTCCTGCAGGTGAGGTAAAGTCAGAGAAACCGAAAAGTGACGAAAAACCGATAGAAGAAGAAAAACCAAAAACTGAAGATAAACCAAAACCAAAGTTTAGTTTGGAAACTAAACCAAGTCAACCTTCATTAGCTGGTATGGGTTGGCGTCAAAGACTTATGGCAGCAGGCGGTTATGTAAAGTAAAGAAAAAATATTTTTTTATTTTTATAAAAATGCCCCCATATAGAATGGATAGAAAGTCTGCTAGAATAAAAGCAGAGTTGCAAAGATATGGTTGGAGAGTTTCGAAGAAGTTTAAATATAGGAAGGGAAGACCCATAAAAGTCTATGACAAATTGTCTGGTCTTCGCTACGAAATGGATTTGGAAACAGCACGTGCAAATTATCCAAACAGACTAGAGAGGTTAGAAGAAGAACGTCTTATGGACATGCCTTTCGATGTTAGTGAACCTCAAGTTGAAGGACACGACGGCTTTGCCAGATTCTAATGGAAACATGACGAACAATTGCATCCTTTGAGAAGGAAAAAAGGAAAAGGTGAAGACACACATGCTCCCATGGAAAGAACAAGATATGCATATGAGAAGTACCGTGAAGTTAGAAGTCAAATTACATCTGGTCGAACCTTTACAGTAAACTTTGACGAAGGAAAGAACAAAGAAGGCTTCATGGGAGTACTTGCTGCAATTCAAGACGGAAATAAGAAAGGACACAATCTCAGATTGACCATAACGGATTTGAATGGTCACATTTACTATGCAAATGGCAATGAACAAACAGCTGCAAAACTTCTTGACGCTTTCAAGACTACAAAGAGAGAACAAATGGTTGACTCCGACTCAGACATTTTGAATGCAATTGAAGGAATTGCAAGTGTCAAGTTCGAATGGTACCAACCTAACCCTCAAGCAGTCAGACAACATGCTGGATACTTTCCGTTCATAAATAAGTCTGACATTGACTTGACAAGGTATGGAATTTACAATTCAATTGAAACAATTGTCAATGAACCTTGCATTCTTACATGTCTCAGGAACTCTGGTCTTGTTACAGATGAGAAGATGAAGTATCTTGAGTCATGTGTGAAGACAAGGTACATTCTCAGAGGTCAATTGGCAAAAATTGCACCGTTGGCAAATGTCAATATCCGAGTCAACATACCTACAGCTAAAGGTTCTTCACATGACGACTATGTTGTTGACAAAGACTTACCATGGTTGAAGATTGCAATTGTCCACAACCACTTCATGTTGAACGAAAGTCTTACAAACCCATTGTTCGGAAAAGGCAAGTGCAACATTGTCAGAGCTGTAAACATTCTTTTCGAGAAAGGTTTGTTGGAACCAATTCCAGATGACAAGCTGACAGAAACTTTTGTACCAAAAGACGAAACAAACTTTTCACTGTTAGCAAGACCAAAAGTTGTTCCAGACAAAGTTCTAGTACAAAAGAAGTACACAATTCCACAAGGAGTTGGATTGTTCGGATACCAACCTGAACCAGAAGAACTTCCAATGAGGTTGCAAGAACTTCAAGATGCTATAAACAAACTTCCATTGAGACATCCAATTGACGTCAAATTGTATTGGAGAGCATCTGAGTTAGGTCAGAAGGTTTTATATGAAACAGGTTGCTTCGACGATGTTTATGAGATAACAGGAGAAGTTTCTCAGAAGATAAGAGACTCACTTGAATTTCCACAAACTGGACCAATTGGTTGCGACAAGTTCGACTCAAACGAAAAAATATACTATGTCGACCTTAACGCTGCATACATGAGGTTTGTCCAATATATTCCGACTGGAATTCCAA